TCTTAATTGTGTGAGGAATCAACATTTATTAGGTTTTCTTATGAATTTCATGGTGAGGAATCAACATGGATGATTTGAGTAGGTGACATCAATATTGTTAGGTTAATTGATGTTCTTAATTGACATAGTCATTATAAAAGAGGGAAAAGGAAGGAAGTCAATCATAAGTACCTTTACTTGATATTTTCTAAACAATTTATAGTTCTTTGTCAGTTAATTGCAATTCAACTCTTTATGCAAAACCTATTTTGTTTTAATCCACTTAGTAAGCATATAATTGGGAATTTCCATTGAAACCGTTCCTCGTGGGATCGACTTTTATTTAATCGAAATACTATACCGCGATTGATAATTTTGGTACACTCAATAATTCAACAAGTATTTCTGGCGCCATTGTCGGGGAACAACGTTCCTTATGAATTCTTTGTTTAGCTTATTAAGTATTTTATTTTTATTTCTGTTTTTGTTTTATTTTTAGTTTTATTTTGCTTAATTATTGTCTTGTGCTAATTTTTGCTTGAGTTACTCTTTGATTTATGCGATTAAGAGGACATGTATCTTCAGAGCAGTTAGAATTTAATTCAGAGATTGAAAAAATCGCTCGTAGAAACCGTGGTAGAAGAAGAAAGAAAACTCAAGAACAAGTCACAGGAGAATCAGTTAACTCTTATTCCACACTCAATTTACCAGACCCAATTATAGAAGACATGGCGGAAGACAGAGCAAATACAAATCCAAATCCAAATCCACCTAGAAGAACACTCAGAAACTATGTTATGCAGCAAGGTCCAAGACACTTCTCCAGCATTGCAATACCAGCCAACCAAATATTGGAGATGAAGTAAACTTTCTTAAGCTTGATTAGTGTTCATCAATTCACTGGATTGGATCGCGAAGATTCATACATTCACTTGTCTACTTTTTATGAATTGATTGGTACCATGAGATTTAGACAAACAGATATTGAATCTGCATACCTAAGATTATTTCCTTTTTCTTTGGCTGGCAAGGCAAAGGAGTGGCTGAATGCACATCCTAATCAGAGTTTGACTAACTGGATTAATGTAGAAGAAAAGTTTCTGAACAAATTTTTTCCACCATCCTGCTACATTAAAGCAAAATACGACATCACTTCTTTCAGACAAGAAGAAGATGAACCTTTTTGTGAAGCATGGGAGAAATTTAAATCATTATTGAGAAGATGCCCAAATCATGGATTTAATGACATTGCTCAGCTGAATATTTTTTATACTGGTTTGCGACCTGATACAAAGATACTATTAGAGGTTGCAGCAGGAAGATCCATGTTGGATGTAGAAATTGAACATGCCACAAGAATTATTGATGCACTAGCATCTACAGACCAACAAGCCCAACATGATAGACATCCAGTTCAGAGGAAATGAGTACTTGAACTTAGCACCTCAGATGTTCTCTTAGCCCAAAATAAACTTATAACCCAATAGATTGAAGCATTGAACCAGAAAATAGAGAAACTACCTCAACAAATGCATACAGTACAATATATTCCTAACCAACAGATGAGTTGTGACGTGTGTGGAGGTGATCATCCGAATGGACATTGTTCTTATCAAGGCAACCTATAACAAGAAGAAGCTAATTATATGGGTGCTCAAGGTAACAATAGTCAAGGCAGACAAGGTAATTTCTCTAGTTCCAATAACTATCAGAATAATTTTGCACAAGGATGGAGAGGGAATCAAAATCAAAATCAAAACTTTGGGTGAAAACAAGGTGCTGGGCCATCTAATCAGCAACTCCCGAACCAGCAATAATCATATCAGCAACCTCCATATCAACATCAACATTATCCTTCAGTGCATGACAGAATGAGCAAATTGGAGGACACTTTAGAAAAATTCATGCAAGTTACGTTGTCTAGTCAGAAAAATACTGAGGCTTTATATAGAAATTTAGAGACCCAGATGGGCCAATTGACTAAACAGTTATCGGAGCAGCAGCAAGAGGACATTTTTCAGCTAACACACAAACCAACCCCAAGGAGCAATGCAATTCAATAACTACAAGAAGTGGAAAAGTTGTAGGTAAGGGGATTAGTGACAATATAGTTGTTGAAGAAGAAGTTTTGGTAAAAGAAGATGAAGAGCAAGAAGAGGAGAATAATAAAGAAAGATGTATTTCTAATAAGAAGAATGAAGAAGGAGAGAAAAAACAAAAGATAGAAAAAGGAGGGAGTCAAAAACTATTTATAGAGAAGTTACCATATCTCAAGGTTCCCTCACAGATAGATAAAGAAAGACAATTCACCAAGTTTATGGATATATTCAAAAGACTGCAAATCAATATACCCTTTGTGGAAGCTATGGAGCAAATGCCAACATACGTCAAATTCATGAAAGAGTTCTTAACTAAGAAAAGAAGATTTACTAATGAAACAGTGGAATTATAGGCAGGGTGTAGTGCTATATTCTAGAAATTATTGCCTCAAAAGTCCAAGGACTCTAGAAGTTTCACTATACCAGTCACAATTGGTACATTACCAGTGAAAAAAACATTACTTGATTTAGGGGCCAGCATAAATCTCATGTCATTATCTATGCTCAAAAGAATAGGAGACTTGGATGTTAGACCAACTAGAATGACTCTGTAATTGACTGACAGATCAATAAAAATTCCTTATGGAGTAGCAGAATATGTTTTAGTTAGAGTGAATAAATTCATATTTCCTGTTGATTTTATGATTATGGACATGGAGAAAATGTGGAAGTCTCATTGATCCTTGGAAGACCATTTATGAATACTATCAAAATAATTATAGATGTTGACAAGGGCAAGTTGAAAATTAGAAGTGGAGATTATGAAGTTAAGTTTAATCTGTTTGAAGATGTACAACAACCGTAAGACAAGAAAGATTGTCTTAGAATAGATACTTTGGGGGAATTACTCATCTCAACTGAAAAAAAAAAGAATTACAAGCATGTTGTATAACCCCAAAGACATCTCAATCTGACTATGAAGGAAGTTGTTCAAAAAGAGGTACTGAAATCTCCTGAAGCAGGTATGATTTACCCCATCTCTGACAATCGTAAGGTGAATCTTGGGATAACAGTTATTCGCAATGAAAAGAATAAATTCATTCCCACAAGGACAGTCAAGAGATGAAGAATGCGTATAGATCACCTTGATCACTCACCTGCATGAGCCCTAAAGCAAATAGGTGTCGAGCTGAAGACGTTAAACAAGTGCTCCTGGGAGGCAACCCAGTGTTTTAAAATTGTTTTTTTTTTCTTTTTACAGTTTAAGTTTTTTGTGCATTTTTCTTCCTTAGGTTCTTTCTTTGCAAGATTGCTCCAGGTACACAGTGAACTTCTCCTTAAGACTTTGAAGCCTTACTTCAATGACCTGGGGACAATCTAACTTTTCCGGGAGGGGGGAAGAAAGTCTGCAGCTGAGGTTGAGGCACAAGAAGAAGAAAGAGAATCAGCAAGTGAAGAAGAATATAATCTCAACATGACCACATATACTAGTACATGAATTTGAAATATAATGTCAATCTCTCTAATACGGGAGAATATGGTATGATATGATGTGATAAAACAACTATGTATTATGTATGATATGTATTACATGACCATATATACTAGTACATGAATTTGAAATATAATGTCAATCTCTCTAATACGGTAGAATATGGTATGATATGATGTGATAAAACAACTATGTATTATGTATAATATGTATTACATATTGTAAATTGGATAAAGTAGTTTTAATTGTAATGTCGTAACTTATCCTTATACTATTATTTGTAACTTTAATTGCAATGATTCGTTTATTGTAGAATAACATATGATCTTGCATGAAATAAGAAAAGAATATTTCACCTAAGCAACAAAAATAATTTAGGATAAAAAATAAACATTTTGTGTATATAATTATAATATTTTATAGTAGAATGTTGTATTAATAAAAATCATGTATTAAATATTAATGATATTTACATCAATATAAGTTTATGCATAAGATAATAATTTTTATATATATTGTGATAATTATAATTTCATTATTCGTACAATATTTTTTTATAAAAAATTCAACATGATTTTTCTAGAGAAAATTGTATAAGATTTAAAAAAAAATGTACATTTGTAATAATTAAAGTCTCTTTTACATAAGGAAGTAGAGTTGATATTTTAAAAAATTATACATATCATGTTCAATTATTAAATCATAATTTAACTATTACAAAATTAATTTATGAAAAAAATATAATTTTAATGGAATAAAATGGTTTAAACATCCTTTTACATATTGATACAAAATAATTACAATATCAATAATAGTATTAGCTGTATTTGGGGAAAATCATTATAATTATTACTCATCCTGTTAATATTTAAGTTAATTCAATAATTAATTATCACAATAACTCATATTTATGGTAAATTATTACAAAAGCATGATAATACTTCATCCATTTATCTTTATAACACTCAAATTTAATGTAATTAAAAGAGTATTGAGGCTCTAATACTGGAGATATCATTTTGCAAATAAAATAAACTTCACGACAAGAGAATATTTCTCTCAATCATTAAGAGCATATTTATTAAATAATAAGATCTTATACTAAATAGGGCGAACTTACCATAACTACAAAGATAATTTCATTACATAATAAACTACTATTTATATTGAAGATTTTATTATCATTTAATAAAAAATAAAGATCTTGTTATTATAATTGAAACACAATATAGTTTAGTTGATAGAAGAAATGGGAGTAAAATTTGGTATATGACTTGCCTTTCTAGGTAAAATTGAATGAGATGAGTTAGGTTGATTTGTTAGTAAAACAAGTCAAATTTGTATCTAAAGAAAGGAGTGTAGTTTTGATTGAAAATGATATTTTTCCTTTAGTGGAAGAGGAGGAACAAGATGGTTAATATTAAAAAAGAAAATAAGAAGCCAAGAGTGGTGGTTAGAAGCAGTAATAATAATATTGATCTCGCGATATAATGTCGGCGCGGGCGAGACGACGGTGCCAAACGAAATCAGCAAAGGGTACGGCCTCTTTTGGAAAGCCCTCAATCAAGGGTCGCCACGTATCGCAGCCTAACATCTGGACGGAGCACACGTATGTGGGCCCCACGCATCTGCCTCGGCATTTATTGGCTCGTTTAATGAGGCGCACCCAATAAAATAAACCCTCACCTCTTATAACCATAACCCCCGTTCGTTCCCTTCTCTTGTTAATCTTCTAGCCACGGTCCGGTTACGACCTTCGTACGGACATCCCGTGCTCCTCTCCGCGACCCGAACCGGACGCACGCAAATCTTTCAACAACAACAACCGTGACGTGAAAAACTTCATTGCATCTCTCTCTCTCTCTCTCTCTGTCTCTGTATCTATCTATCTCTTACTTTTTGTGTTGTGACGCGTTTAATTCTCTCTCTTCGTGATAATAATTCTCGACTCGCCCTTTGGTTCTCGCCGGCGATTGTGTTAGATCAATCGCCGCCGGCTCTGCTTTAGCCGTTCAATTTACTTGCTCGCCGGCGCGCGGTGGTTGCTCGACCCGAGGATCTCGCTGTTGGGATTCTGCAGGGTAATGTGCATCGGAATTCGAGGGTCTGACGTTGGTGCTTGGTGGAGTCCGAATTCGGGACGTTGTGGTGGGTTTGGATCTGGAATTGGTGGGGATGGGAGATTGAATCGACGGGTTAGGGTTTGGGGAGGGGTGCATTTATGAAGGAGGTGCTGTTGGGTGGGGGAGATAAGAGTGAGAGGAAGAGAGGGAAGGTGGTTTGGGAAGGGTTGATGATGATGGGTTTCAAGGGGGAGAGTAACAACAAGCTGAGGAATTCGATGGTGGTGTCGTCGTCTTCGGGGAGGTCGTCGAGGATGAAACTTTGGATGATACGCGCGACCACATCGGTGTTGCTGTGGACCTGCGTCGTTCAGTTAACGGCGTTGGGTGATATGTGGGGGCCGAGAGTTTTGAAAGGGTGGCCTTCGTGTTTCACGCACGAATCCGCGCTCACTGAGTTGCCGTCTGCCACCCCCGTAGTGCTCCCACCCAAGAGTTAGTAGTAATTCATAATCTTCTACTTTCGTCGTTGTCATCGCTTTGTTTTCGCGTTTTAAGTGATGTTGAGTTTATTTGTTGGTTTGATTTTTCTGATTGTTGTTGTTGTTGACAGGGGTGTATAAGAACAACGGTTACTTGATGGTGTCGTGCAATGGAGGACTGAACCAAATGAGAGCAGCGGTGGGTGGTGGTTGGCACATGCTTTTGCTTTTTTTTTTTTTTTTTTTTTTTCCTTTTCTGTTTTGAGTTTTTCTGATTCGGTGATGCTCTTACTTTGTACAGATATGTGACATGGTGGCGATTGCAAGGTATTTAAACGTGACACTTATAGTGCCTGAATTGGATAAAACGTCCTTTTGGGCTGACCCCAGGTTAGTTTCTCATTCCATCTTGGTGTATATTGTTTCAGCAAACTATCAATGTTTCGAGGGTGTAGTGTAGTAGGTTTAAGGAGTGTCTGTTTATCTTACCTTTTGGTTTTAAAATCTTTTTTCTAAAACAATTTCACCCTACTCATCAATCGATTTCTCATCCAATGTTTTTTGAAAATTGTTTCTGAAACAAATGTTTTTAAAAACCGAGGTTGAAAACAGTTGGGGAATTTTTCTCATCTGCTCAATTCTACACTCGACTTTGTGCCCTGTACCGCCCTCCACCAGTTTTCTCTACCTGTGTGTTTTTCTAAGCAGGATATGTTCTCAATTCATATTTTATTACTTGTGTGTCAGTGAGTTCCAAGACATCTTTGATGTGGATCATTTTATTACATCCTTGAGGGATGAGGTGAGGATATTGAAAGAGTTGCCTCCTAGACTGAAGACGAGAGTGGAAAATGGGTTACTTTACACCATGCCACCGATTAGTTGGTCTGATATATCATACTACAAGAATCAGGTTAGTTTTAATAATCCTTGGGCTGACAAGTTTAAAAGTTTGAACGTGCTTAATTCTATCTAAATTTCACATACAATGTTTGTCAATTATGTTGTTTCCATTTTCCGGTTTTCTGATTAAAAAACAAATGGCATGACTATTCTTTCAGATTCTGCCTTTGATACAAAAGTACAAAGTTGTCCATTTAAATCGAACAGATGCCCGGCTGGCCAATAACGAACAACCTTTGGAGATTCAGAGGTTGCGTTGCAGAGTCAATTTTAGTGCTCTTAGATTTACTTCTCAGATTGAGGAGTTAGGCAGAAGGGTGATCAAGCTTCTGAGGCAAAATGGCCCATTTCTGGTGCTTCATCTGAGGTATGAGATGGACATGCTGGCATTTTCAGGCTGTACACAAGGTTGCAACGGTGATGAGGTGGAAGAGTTGACAAGGATGAGGTGAGTGTTCTGCCTAGTTCAGCTGCTATTTAATTTTCATAGTTTTCACTCATTGTGGTGTTTGAAAGGATATTTCATAGGAATCTTTCTTAAGTTTCAATCTACTGTGCATTGTCAGATATGCTTATCCTTGGTGGAAAGAAAAAATAATTAATTCTGATTTGAAAAGAAAAGATGGTTTGTGTCCGTTAACACCTGAGGAGACTTCCCTTACGCTTAGGGCGCTTGACATCGATCAAAACATTCAAATCTACATTGCTGCTGGAGAAATATATGGTGGGAACAGGAGAATGGCAAGCCTTGCGAAGAACTATCCAAGATTGGTAACTAACTTAAGGCTTAAGGAAACCTGCTAATTGTGATGCTTATTGCAGCTTGACTTATCTGTTTTTCTGAAACAGGTCAGAAAGGAAACACTATTGGAACCATCGGACCTTCAGTTCTTCCAAAATCATTCCTCTCAGATGGCAGCATTGGATTACCTTGTCTCACTCGAGAGTGATATTTTTGTTCCTACATATGATGGAAATATGGCCAAAGTAGTTGAGGGCCATCGCAGGTAAATGTTTGGCTAATAAAAACTCTCATAGATTTACTGTTCTATTCTCATTAACAAATTCATCAATTGATAATTTGTTTAACCAGTAAACTTGTTTTAGTATATTTCTTTGGTAGGAAATTTTTTGTGCAGGACAAATCTGTAATACTTCCGATTAAACAATTTCTTTATACCCTTCTGATGAAAATCGACTGTGTTTAACAAGAAATGCCAACGTAGAATTTGCTGTTTCTACCATAACTTTGTAATTTAAGCACAACTCGCTTTAGTCTGAAATTTTTCGCTCCTGGTTGATGGATGTTAATACTTCAGTGAAAAGTGAGATGACTTGTGCTCTCCATTTCCTGCTACAGATATCTTGGGTTCAAGAAGACGATTTTATTGAACAGAAAGCTCCTAGTTGATTTGATAGATCAATACCATAACGGAGAATTGAACTGGGATGAATTCTCTTCAGCTGTGAAGGAAGCTCATGCTGATCGCATGGGTAGCGCAACTAAAAGATTGGTAATCCCTGACAGGCCCAAAGAAGAGGACTATTTCTATGCCAATCCAGAGGAATGTTTAGAACATTCAGATGATATGTTGAGTAGTACGTGAGTGATGTGTTTGGAAATAAGAGAATTTACTTGTTCCCTCTCCTAGTGCACTTGGTTTTCGACCAAAGATATTAAGATAGGTCTCTACGCAGTTTAACAAAGATGATGACAGTTTTATTTACAAAGAGGCAGTCATGGTGACTGTTAGAAGGGGGAGGGGGATAGGCTTTTCATGAAAGCTCGAGAAGGTCAAGCAAGGTAGCCGAGGCATACTTTACATATAAAATATGCAAATAATCCATCACATTCATGTATAGAAGCCACACCCTGCAATTACAGGGTGAGAGCAGATCAAACTGCATTGTACACGGAGGGATTCATATACAAATTTGGATTTCTGGAACTGCAGTTCGTGGAAGCTTTATTCCTTGGTACCAAAATTTTTCCTTCTCTTCGAAATATAAATATAGTACAATTACAATTATTTTTTTCCTTTACCACCCTTCTTTTTATTTAACACGATCATTGTCAGTTTTCAAATTACTCCTTCTGTAAAATTTGTTTGTTCATGATTATTCTGTCCTAATTTCTTAGCTTTTGGTCATTATTAAGAGGAATGGTAGGTTGGACTTTTCTTTTATGTTCTCTCTGATTTATATTTATTTATGTTTGACAGAGTGTTGTTATCTTACCTATCGCCAACATATATCTCATAATTCATGAGATGATAATATGATGATATTGTTTCAACTTAATTGCTATACTAATGGCATCTTATCAACATCAACTACCATATAGCGCTGAACCAATAAGCCCATTTGAACAGTGAACTATTGTCCTACTGTGACCCCATCTTTCTAACATATGGTTTTGGATGGAACTGGACCTGTTGTTTTGGTTAGAACCCTTATCTTATAATTAGGTAAATTGTTGTTGTTATGAGAGTCTTTGTTCCTGAGTAAGACAGACGACAAACACACAAGCAATCAGAACCAGTCAAAAGATGGCCACTTTGTTCTTTTGTTTATTCCACTACATCGTAGGAAATGCGAAATGATATATGATTTGAGTTCTGTGGTCGTTGACGGAAGAATATCCATCGTTAATCCCTTTCCATGGATTCCAAGAGTCAAGTTGATCATTGGTAGTATTATAACTTGTGGGGAAGAATGACAGCTTCATATTCTCTCACATTTCCTTATTGACTCAAATGAATAAAAACTATCAATTAATTATAAATAATAAAAAAGTAGGGGTTAGAATATAATTTAAATTTTTTTATACTTTTGATAATTCTTGAATTAGTCTTTTATATTTTAATATTGGTTCTATACATGTATAATATTTTCAAAATTGTTATTTTATCAATATAATACTAATAACATTAGTGTTTTAATATTTAAAATAAATAATTTTTTATAAGTGACTATTGAAAATCGTTTCCGTATTTAAATTTATTTTAGGATTATAAGGAAGAATCATCAAAGATGCTAAATTGATTATCTAAAATAAATCTCATTGGTTGTTTTAAGGTATTATGATTCATCTCAAAGTTTTTTCAATATTTCTTTTAAAAGGAACTAAGATAATTTATCCAACAATCATTTGAAGGATTTATGGTGTTTAAATATCGACTTTATGATAGATAGAATAATAAAAGTAATCTGTTTTTATTAATTTGACATTATTAAATAAAATGTTCAAACCAACTTGCATTCAAAACTCTTAATTGTTGTAAATCATCATTCATAACTACTACATTAAGAGTCGCTATAACCTCTTTATTTAAATTTTGTTAGAGCTTTTTTTTTTCGGTGAGATAGTGTTTTTATAGCATTAATGATTCTTACTATGTTTATGTGATAAATAAAAAAGGTAGCATGTAATCAATTTTATGGAAAGCCATATTAATGACTGAGTTGAAGTATTAATATTACAGGTGATTTGTTGTTTTAAGTTTATTTTAGTTTCTCGAACACAAAAATTGAATTGTTAAAAATTGTGACAATCTTTTAAAATTTATTTTAAAATATTTAATTTAAAGGTAGTGTAAAATATTAAAGCTTCCCCCTTTATGGATAGTGACAAACTGGGGGTCCATAAATCTTGCATGTACGGTATTAGTAATTTGTTTGTTAGTCTTATTAAGGGAGCATAATGATGAACAATAAGATTTATTCATTGCATTGTGAACAAAATACTTGCAATATTTTTCGACCATGAACGAACCAAAATATAGACTAATTCGAATATAGAGACATTACCTAAAAAAAATAAGAATGTTATGACTTTTAATCTATGATAATATTACTAAAATATTATATAGTTTAGAATTTTAATTCTTCAATTTTTTCTTTAAAAAAAGGTAAAAATAAAATATTTATAATTTTTTTTTTCAATATTAAGCAATATACACTGAAACAAATTTTATAAACTAATAATATAAACTATATTTGAGATGAAAATACGTTTCCCTACAAAGTAGGGAAGAGAAAAGAAATTCCAAAAGAGATAAAGTGAGATGTGCACGCATTTATTTGCAGTCAGAAAAGCTTTCACAAGAGGGTGCACTTTTTCTTTTGGCTAAAAAGTTTATGAATGCAAAACCAAAACAAAGTATAAATAGAAAGTTTAAAACAGATGTCGTATAAACAGCAACACTTGTTTATGCGAGGAACGGTTAACGGAAGAAGACACCTATTTTTACAATAGTAACTAGTGATGACGTTTTAATGGTATTTATACAATATTTTTTATGGCACTTTTTGTTTTTAACGTGACAATGGAACTGTGATTGAAAGCATTTTGTGATTGTGTGAAAATGTGGACACTATGCAAAGTGCACTAAGTGGGTGAGTTGCATGTTTCATCTTTTTGAGTAATAGCATTAGTAGTGGACCACTACATCAATGAATCTCTTAGAATTCCATTCCAAATTTGCCTAATGCAAAGGTGGAAGACAAGACAAGACACTATCAAACCAACATTTATTATTACCACCCAACAAGTATTTTAACATGTCTTACTATTTCACCCTGCTGTTATTTCATTTTTTTTTTTCATTGGAAAATCATCTGAATGAATGTAATTCAATCTGATTTTAATTTCAAAGTCTAACTTTTGTAATTTGATTTCAATTATTTTTGTCATTATCAAATTATTATATAGTTTTTATAAAAATTATAATATATATATATATATATATATATATATATATTATGATTTTCTTATAATTATTATGACATTCATAACTTTTTTTATATTATAAATAAATTATGTAATTGTAAACCTAATAATTTTGATTATCATTTTTATATCTAGAAAATAATTAATTAATCCTCAAAGTGTAAAGATCACGTAAAAAATTGGTCATTTTATCAATTTTAGAATAATAAAAAAAATTAAATATACAAAGAAACTAAAACGACATTTATTTTTTATTAATTATTTTAAATTAAAAAAATCATTATTAAATGTTAAATTTTTAATAAAAAATAATTTAGATAATGTATTTTGTTAATTGAAAAACTAATTATTATTTTTTAAATATAATGATACAAAAATAAAATTGACAAAAAAATACAATATTTAACCCTATATTGTAACACGGTGAACATTTTTTATTTTCAAATTAAAATTTGAAGCGAATAATTTAGATGAAGAAAAAAATAGACTTAAAATATTTCAGAAAAAAAACAATTTTTGATTGTATATTTTTGTATAATTAATAATTTGATGTAGGTGGAACGTAGATAGAAACCAGAGTGGGTCAAACCTGTCTCCTCCAATCGCTAAGATTGATGATATTGTTTTCATCAAGGAAGGTTTAGAATTCAAAGTATAATGCGAAGGAGATCCCAAGAAAATCCTCATCAAAATTTCCACACATTGTTGTTTAAATTATGGTTTGAATGATCCAAGACCACCTCGGAGAAAGGGTCCAGTTGTATCTTCTTCAACATTGTTATTTGACTTCTCATTGGTTACTTACATATCTTGTGGTAATAACATTGGGACAATCAACATTGTTCTTAATTAACATGTTTGACTAGTGTCATTATTAGCTTAATTAATTAACCTTAATTCTGTTCCTCCCACGTTTTCTGTCCAATAGTTTAGGTTAAAACCAATATTTTGAAAATGGGATTATTCTATCCAACCGTTTCAATTAAAAAAATTAATAACTATTTTAATTTATTTAAATATAATTTTTTTTATATAAATCTTATTAACTTTAAATAATAATTAAATTTTTATTTTTTAATATATTTTATATTTATAATATTTATTGTAATTTATTATTATTATTGTTTTAAAAAAAGTTATTATTATTATTAATGAATTTATTATATTTAATAGATTTTTTAAAATAATTAATGATGAAAGTATCCAATTTTGGAAACATAGGTTAAAACTATTTTTATTATTGTTTTAGACTCGTTCTAAGGTGCAAGGTAAGTAACATGTACTTAGGACTTGTTTTTACCTTTAAGGGATGACTTTGATGACATTTTAACTCTGTGATTTGAACTATCAACAACCTACTGCAGCAGGTAATGAATGTGATTTAGGTTTTTTTTTTGTGTATTTTTAATGAATGAATAATTTGAAACATTTTTACTTTTGTACCTTTAATTATTAGTTTCGATTATTATTAGTTTCAAGTTTTGTTACTTAGCCTCTCTTTTTTTTCTTGCATTTTATTATTAAAATTTTCCATTTTACTAATGAACGAAACTTTCATATTTCTGGTCAAATTTTAAATTTTCTAAGAGAATAATATCAACTTTACCTAAATACAATATGTAAGTTTTGTCCTTTACCAATTTATTAAATTTTCAATACAATGATAATTATATATAAAAAACCAAAATAATGTTTTTTTTAACAGCCTCGTTTTGAATTTGTTTTATTTTTTATTTTTAATTTTCTTATCACATTTTATAACTCTGTTAGAAATGAATAGTTAAAAAATATGCATATTTTAAAAATATTGATGATAAAATACGAGAAAAAAAAACTTAAAGGTAATTTTTTTTAAATGATAATATTTGAATGCTA